GATCGTGCAGCTGTTCGCCGGCCACGCGGCGCGGGTAGCCGGCGCGGCCTGGCTCGCGTCCAAGGGAGTACCGACGGCGATCATCCAGTTGCTGGGTCGTTGGTCCTCCACAATAGTGGAGCGCTATGTTCAGGCGGCCCCGCTGGCGGTGGCCCCGGAGATCCCCGGCAGAGTCCTGGCTGGGAGCTACGGCGGCACGTCGGCCACCGATGAGGCTCGGCGAGCCACGGCTGGGGGCGTGGCACCCAGCCCACAGATCCCGGATCCCCCGGTGCAGGAGGCGTCGCCGGGGACGCCGGTTGACCAGGCAGAGTTCTCCCGGCGGTTCAGCTGGTGGAAGCCCCGCCTAGGGGGCCGGCGCCCGGTGGGAGTGGACACCCGCCGGCGCGGGAAGACCTCATCTACAACGAGAAGGGGGCTAAGGTGCACCGCCCTGACCCGGCGGAAGCTAGCACGGAGCAGTTCCTGTGGAGGTCAAGGTGCGGCGCGTGGCCGTATGGCATCCGGCGCTTCTTTAGAGTGTCCGAGAAGCCGGCGTCCGCCGCGTGGTGGGGAAGGTGAAGGTTCACCGACCGGGCCGGTGGACTCACCGGTGGCGTCCAGCTCGGCGTCCGAGTCGGACAGCTCTTCATCGTGAGAAAACAGCCGGCGAAGGCGGTGCGTAGTGAGCGGCTGTGGCTGTGCCTCCCTTGCTGGCGGTTGAGTCTGTGCATTACCTGCGGCGATAGCTCTCTGGCTCTCCTTTGTCGCCCGCCCTCGGCGTGCCTCCGCTTAGGTCTCTCCTCGTCGGTGCTGCGGCTGTCATGGCGGCTCCGGGCTTTCCCCCAGCTCCTGCGGCGCCTGCGGCGCCCTCGGCTGCGCCCGCACTGGCGGCGACCATCATGACGCCGTTCGTGGATCTGGCGGCGGCGGCGGGGGCCGGCCCTCAACTCACGGCCTACCTGGCGGCCCGCAACCTGAACCGCACGGCGACGCTGGCCCTCATCGCACACTCCTGGCCGAAGTTTGAGGACCGCGTCGTCCGGCCTTTCCTGGACGGGGTGGAGATCGCCGGCACCGTGCACCAGGCGCCGGAGGCGGAGCAGGCGGTCGTCGAGGCTATCCTGCACCACATGTGGGCAGGCACAAGCAGTGGGCCACCCACATCGCGGTCCCGGCACCGGTGACCACGCCGGCCTCGTCGGCGGCTGCCCCTGGAGCGGTGGTGCCGGCCCTTAATTCCCGGCGACAAGCCGCCGAAGACGTTCCCGGAGTGGGGGCCGCTGGTCAAGCGGTACAACGAGGTGACGGTCGCCGGCGAGCCCCGGGATTTCCCCACGACCCTCCTCCTCGGCGCGGAGGAGGTGCTGGCGCGCATGTACTTCGAGCACACCAAGTCGAAGGAGTACACGGCGGTCGGCTTGGGAGAGATTTTGCAGCGGCGCACCTTCACGGCGGCCATGGAGGTGAACCCGCTGGCGATCCGGCGCCACAAGGAGAGGGGCCAGGCGATCCGGTTGGTGGACGGCGCACTGGTCCATGACCGGGAGGACCCTTAGGGGGGTCCTCGGCGTCATCGACGGCATCGAGGCGGTGCGCTGGGCGTGGACCCTCACCGGCGTGGCCACGGAGAAAGGGGCGGCGGAGTACGCCCAGTGGTGGACGTCGAAGGCCCGGCAGCGCCCATCCCAGCTCGAGGCGATCACGGAGTACTGGGACGCGTCCTCCCGGCGCCTGGCAATGCAGATGCGAGGTCACGGCGGAGATCATGAAGGACCAGGCGGCGTTCCTGGACATCCTCTCCCGCCCGCGGCCTCCGGCGAGGAACAAGGTCAGCGAGGGCCTCAACCCGCCAGACCCGGAGACGGACGGCCCGCCAGGCCCCGCGGCGCACCAGGGGTACCAGCCCGGGCCCGGGCCGCAGAAGGTCAAGAAGAACCGGCGGCGCCGCAACAACCCCCGCCAGGCGCAACAGCAGCACCAGCACCGCGGCGATGAGGCTGGCTCGGACAGCCGCGGCGGCGGTGGTGGCGGCTGGCGGCAGAACTGGCGCCCTCGGGGCGACTCCAACCAGCAGCCCGGCCGCCAGGACTGGCATGATGATCGGCGGTGGGCTAATGCCGACCGGGCCCAGTCGTGGCAGGACCGCGGCGGGAAGAGAGACTCCAGGCGCAGGACGGCGACCGCCCGCAGAAGCACAGGCGCTAGGGACAGCACGGGGCCCCGCCCGGCGCTTCGGCCTCGGGTGGGTACCCGACCGGAGCCCGGCCGCGCAGGCGGATGGTGTTGAAGCCGGCCAGGCCGGCGCGCAGAAACGGCAAGTACATCCTGCTCTCCCTCTTTGACGGCGTCGGGGCGGCGCCGGCGATCCTCGAGGACCTCTTCTTCGGTACACCGTGGGCGGCCATGGCGTGGGAGACAGACAAGACTTGCCGGCGCTTGACATCCATCCGGCTGCCCTGGCTCTGGCAGAGGGGCGACTTCACCGCGGACTCGGTGGAGAAAGTGGCGGCGGAGATCAGGCGCCTGGACCCGGCCGGCGAGTGTGTGATCCTCCTCGTCGCGGCGCCCCCCTGCCAAGATTTCTCCCAAATCGGCGCAGAGGCTGGCCACAGCGGCACTCGCGGCAGCCTGTTCTTGCGCTCGGCGGAGTTCGTCCTGGAGCTGAGGGCGGCGCTTCGTGGCTGGCGGGTCGGCTTCATGTTTGAGAATGTGGTCATGCAGCCGGCGTCAGCCAAGGAGGTGTCCGACTGCCTCGGCGTGGAACCGGCGCTGGTGTGCGGCTCCGATTTTGGGTGGATCTCGCGGCCGAGACTGTGGTGGCTCTCGGCGGACCTCCGGCAGCACACGGAGGACCCGGCCACCGGCGCCCCCGGCCAGCCTAGTTTTGGGCGGAGGCGACGGACCCGGCGCGATGCGCTTTCTTCCCATACAAAAGAAGGGTATCCGTCGTCTCGTGCTAGCCTTTTCGGCGTTGCCCTAAACGTCGATAGCATATGTCGGAGGTCAGGCGGATAGCCTCTGATCGTCTCATTTTACCAGACTCTTCAGGGACTTCATCCCCCTTCCGTTATGCGGCATCGGTCCCGAGGCTCCTCGCCTCACCTCGCCTCAACCTTTCCGTCAAGCCTTCGCTGCAAGCTTGGACAGGCTTTGGCCCCGCTCTCTGTGGTATTTGCCGGACTGCTTGATTGACCCCTTGTCTGCTTCTTAGGTGGCTGGCCTTTTGCCTGTGATCTTGATATGTCCACATGCTACTGTTGTTTGGGCTCTCAAGTGTCTTAACTATCCATCGTTGCACCTTCACATCGGCAAATAGCACGATGGCATGTGCTACCGAAGTCCTCAGGAAGAATCGCCCGTGTCGGTGAATTCAGCCTGTTGCTCAGGTATTGGCGTCTGGTCTCAGAGCGGATTGGCTGTGGTGCAGTGACGCGGTGTCTGGGCTGCAAGATTGAAAGAAACGCGGTGAAGGTTCTGCCCCAGCCAGCAATGTTGGCCTGTCTCCAGGTTTCCACCATGGCCACTGACGAACGAAGAGAAGCAATCATGCCTCTAGGCTTCACATCTGGTCACATCTGTACTGTGGGCTGATTGTTTCACCCATTGATAGCCTCTCTTCGGAAGTCGTGCAGCCCAGGTTTGGATGGCTTTGAGGAGCACTTGCAGAGGCTGAGACAGGCAGGAAGCACCGTTCATGAACACTCGGCAGCGTGTTTTCGTTGCCGTGGCGATTGCTGTCGGCCAAGACAGGCCATCCCACCAGAGGCGTTGTCAGAGTACAACATTCGAGAAGGTGCGCAGCACGAGAAGCTTACCGTCTTACCATTTCAAGCACAGGACACGTACCCAGTGGCGATTCATGTGTCTAGCTGCAGGCTGGGAGCCGCTCTGCCGCTTCTTGAACCGGCCAATTCCAGAGGAGGCCGTTTGGAGAGCTGTGGTCGGTGAAAGTGCCACTACCCTTAAGCGAGTATTCGGGGCTCTGTGGCATCTGAGTGGATCTGAAACGGAAGCCTGCAAGGCCTTTCCCCGGGAAGATTCCTACAGCTCACTGCACTGGAAGGCGCCACTGCATCGATGTAGCTAAAGGTGTTTTTTTCACAGAAATGTGCAGGTGGGCCCCTGGACCTTCACCGCGATCGCGTACCTGGGCTACTGCCTGCCAGTCGTCGGCTCAGAGTAGAGCTCAGCTGGAGGTCAGCTTCTCTCCACCCTTCATCTCTGTATAGTGATTCAATTAAAAGGTAGGTCTGCTAGGCGCGCCGCGTCCAGGTCCTGGTCGTCAGTCTGCTGCCCTGGCGGTGCAGAGGATTGCGAGGAAAAGGATGCCAGGAAAAGGATGCGAAATGAGCCACGCTCCATCTGTGCCTCAAGGCCGAAACCGAGGGCACCCCCGAATTCAGAGCCGGCGCAGGAACATCAGGGCTCCTCAGATTCGACCCGGCCTAGATCTTCGGCCCTCCTGGCAAGACAGCTGAGAGCCTCTGATCACTGCCCCGGCTCCCAATGCAAGTTATCGAACTTGGATCTGCTACGCGGTCACCCAACGTGGAGTAAGGCAGCAGTTCCATGTTTCCGTTTTGGCAGAGTGTACAGCGTGAGCCCGCAGGGTTCCAAATTAGCTCTCTTCCAGAGATGCACGGAGCCTTGGCATCCCTGAGGCCATGAAAACTTCACCGAAGGTCGAGGCTCCAAGTACGCCCTATAAATAAACAAATATGTATATATATATATATACATATATATATATATATATATATATATAAATACATACATATGTATATATATATATACACATCTATATCCGCCTCCCAAGCCCTGGTGGATGCCGTGGCCCACGGATATCTCACGGACGAGGCTCAGTTACGTGAGGAAGTTTTCGAGTCAGATCCACGCTCGGCGAAAACGTAGACTCAGATTCGTTTCCAGAGGGGCAAGGGAGGTGAGGAGCATGCGGACGCGAGCATCCATGGAGTCAAAAGAGAACTCAAGAGACGACATGCCGGCTGTCTCCCAAGGCGTGCAAGTGGTTAGCTGTGAATTCTCCGGGCCGTCCAGCTTGGTCAAGCAGGTGCTCCCTTTGCATAGAAGTCAAGCGACAACAGTGTTTTTCCTTCGGCCTCGCGCTTTTGGTGGCTTTGCCTGCCTGTGCCAGACTTGCAGGCGCGCGGTGCCATGTGCAAGTACATCGTTCAAAAGCGTGTGAAAACTCCGGCCGACTTGAAGAAGTTCACAGGAGTCTCCAGTCTCCCCGTGATCTTCAGAGGATATCAGCTTAGCTCGTTGCCAGCTGCACGTGCTTTTAGTGCTGCCCCCAATCACCCCCCGGACGGAGCCACCGTTTTCGTCTTTCTGCGGTCAACCTTCATGACCGTGTACTTGCGCAGGAGACGCGAAGAACAGGCAAGCTCGAATGAACTGCGGCGTTGGATGCGAGATACGGAAGTCTCTGCATTGCTTCCTCTCTTGCTGCCCGAGCCTTCAATTCGCAGGTTTGCTTTCAACGCTGCAAAGTCCAGCAACAGCAAGCTCGTGTTCACGCGTGGAGGCCGTGGAAGGATGCAGGAATGTTTGGCTAGCAGTTGGGGTCTCGTGCTTGACCGCCGTGACAGGTTGCAGAAAGCTTTTCTTCGAACCTGTTTGCTCGAGCATTTATGTGACGGCAACGGCAGAGCCATGGCAGAGCACAAAGTGGGAGGCATCGCGTATCTCGCCACCGGCGGCCGAAGCACAGACTCTCCCGCTCCAGTTGAGATTGGTTTGACAAATCGCCCAGCGCAATTTCAGCGAGTGAACTGCTTGGATGCCGATGAATTCCGACGGCTGGTTCGAAACTTGTATGGCCTGAGTGAAGACGGCGGAGACAGTGGCGACGGCTCACCAGTCTGCAGGACGTTCGGCATTGTGCCGGACGGCTGCACCTCCTTTCCGTCTTGCGGCAGCCAGGAAGCTCGTGGAAGTCGGACCAGTTCTGGTATCTTGGCACCAATGAGCTGCTTCTAGAATGGGCATTCCTTGCATGTGTTGCGGAGAGCCGCAGTAATGACGTTGCACCGGATCAGAACGAAGTGTCGGCAGTCGAGTCACTGCATGTTCCGCAAGGAGTGCATGCTGCCACGAGCCTGAAGCGGCGCCTTCAATTGAAGGCCACGCTTGTTGCTTGTTGACGGAGCGGTTGGGGTGAGCCGTTTTCCAGTAGAGGCTTTGCTTTGCGCTTCCCTGCAGGCTTTGTCCGCAAGGGCGTGGATCAGCCGATTTTCACGGAGCTCTGCCAAGGTCAGCGACTCTCAAGGACGGTCCGCGGAGTTGTGTGGAGCAGCATCTTAGATTCAGAGCTGCTGGGATCGTGGTGCGAGCTGCTAACATCTGGCAATTCGGAAATGGCCAAGACAGGAGCAACGCGCTGACGTCCAGCAAATTTGTACAGGTCTTGTCGAAGGGATCTGTAGGTTAGTGTCGCAGTACATGGAGGCCTTCTGAGCCACACCGTGCCTTTCAAGCCTTTTTTTGAGTTTCTTACAACCTTGCGACTTTCGCGGCGTGAGCGGGTCAGGAACCCGCGCTGCGAGTGATTGTAACGAATCTCGCCTGCTTTTTGACGGGCATGGGTCGAAACTAAGTTTCTGACCATTTGTCCTGTCCCAATCATTCTCCTCTTCTTTTGGCCGAGCAACATCCCTTTCAGGAATTTTGAATCGGAGGGGGTGCGGACTAACTGTGTTGGCCGGGAAAAATTCCTCAGTCTGGTTTCGCCGAACGTAGCGGGCAGTTGGCCAATCAAGGATCGTTCGTTTGCGCATACGTGCATCAGATATTGGACGGTGAACTTTCAAGAGAGACGGTGCGAGCAACAGCGACAGAAGAATTCGACATAGAGAAAGGCTCTTCAAAACCATCTTGTCAAGTGCAGTGTCGTTAGCCTTCCCAACAAGACTGTAGTGCTGGCAGCTGGCACGGTCAACTGCTGAAGAAGCGTCGGCATGCTTCACAAGTGAAGTGACCCTCTACGAGTGACATGCTTAAAGCACCTGTTTGCTCGAGCTTTTTTGTCGTAGCGTGGTGGTGACGGCTACGGCTGACCAATGGCGGAGCGCAAGGTGGGAGGCATTACGTCTCTCGCCGCCGGCAGCCAAAGAACCGTCTCTCCCGCTGCAGGTGAGGTTGCTCTGACAAACCGTGCTTCGTCTCCTGGGAACCTTCAGAGAGTGAACCGCCTGGATGCCGATGAATTCCGACGGCTTGTTCGAAACTTGTATGGCCAAAGCAGCGAAGACAGCGGAAACAGTGGCGATGGTCCTCCGGTGTGCCGGGCGTTCGGCATTGTGCCGGACGGCTGCAGCTCCTTTTCGCCTTGCGGCAGCCAGGAGGCTCGTGGAAGTTGGACCAGTTCTGGTTTCTTGGCAGCATGGCCTGCTTCTAGGGTGGATTCTTGGCATTTCTTGCATGTGTCGCAGTAATAACGGTGCACCAGAGGCTTTCAGAATCCAATCAGAACGGCGCAGTCGGCAGTCGAGTCACTGCATGTTCCGCAAGGAGTGCATGCTGCCACGAGCCTGAAGCGACGCCTTCAATTGAAGGCCACGCTTGTTGCTTGTTGACGGAGCGGTGCCGTTTTGCTTTGCGCTTCCCTGCAGGCTTTGTCCGCAAGGGCATGGATCAGCCGATTTTCACGGAGCTCTGCCAAGGTCAGCGACTCTCAAGGACGGCCTGCGGAGTTGTGCGGAGCAGCATCTTAGATTCAGAGCTGTTGGGAGTGCGAGCTGCCAACATGTTGCAATTCGGAAATGGCCAAGACAGGAGCAACGCGCTGACGTCCAGCAAATTTCGACAGGCTTAGCGAACCCACCGGTAGGTAGTGTCACAGTTTATGCGGAGGCCTTCCGACAGACGCCGTCTCTCGCAAGCCCCGGCTGTTGCAACTTTGCGACTTCGTCTTTCAAAATGCGAGCATGACAGGGTCATGAATCCGCATGGCATCGAATATATTGCATATTCATTCTTTTCACCTTAGGCCCCACCAAAAAATGTGATCAGAAGGATGATGGTAGGCATATTCAAGTCCTGCTGTTATGCCCCTATTGGTGGGGTGGGGTCTAAGTCCAAGCCAATCAATCTCCCTTCCTGTTTCGATGGGACAATGGTCGAAAGTGTGTCTAGTTCGTCTTGCCACTCGGCCATTTGTGTTCCTTTCTGCCAGCGCTTGCCAGCAAGAATGGACAGCGAGGGTAGACTTGCTACCAGTAGAGGAGAAAAGCATCCGTTGATAATGCTTTCGCTTCGGTTTGTCTAGGTTGGAGAACATGAAGCCGATCTGGGCTATCCGCCATCACGAAAGTCGACCTTGTTTTCGGGTATTAATGAGCCACCAGGCGCAGCCAAGAGGAAATCCGTTGAGGCCAGCGTCAGCCCGGGTCATGGAGTTTCCGATCATCCGGGCCGTCTGGGCTCCTCAGGCACTGTGGCCGAAGAAGCGCAGGCGGACGTGAGGCTTTCGGTGTCAAAGCCCCGCCCTGAAGCCCAGCTGCTTGCGTCACAGGTGGGTAGTGTCTTCTGAGCTGCCTTGTGTAAGGCCAAGCTTCCGCGTTTCGACGGGCTTGCCACGCTGCTTCATTGGCTGCTGGGAGGTCGCCGTTTCCTTTCGAGAAGCGTTGAGGCAAAACGTAGTGCCCTGTTCTGAGCATGTGTATATTCAGCTTCTTGATCATGTGGTCAATCCGAACACAAGCGCATCGCAGCATCATTGGTTCTTTCGAGACCATCTTGTGACCATCACCAACCGGAAATCTGCTCTTGAGGAATGCATGCGCGTCTTTCCTTGGAGCATGTGCCCCATGTGCGCAAAGCAATGCCATGCAAAGCCCTTTCGGGAGAACTCGCACGACGCTGTAAGTTTGAAATTCACCACAAGCCTCATGGCAAGCCTGAGAGGATAGGATGCGTTGATTCAATGGTTTCATGCAGAACTGCCCGTTTGTCTTTCTTCCTCTCCAACAGAACTACTTCTCTTGCATCCGCAGCTTCTTGGCACAAACGAGTTGTAGGGGTCATTGGTAATGGACTGGGGCCACTTGGCTGCAGTAGTGCCAGTTCATTTGTAACGATGCCAACGGCCAGCGGCAGAAGTGATTGCAATGACTGCAAGCGCATGCACACACGCACTGCGTCTGTTATTCAGCCTCTGAAAGGCATGTCGGACAGCAGCCGCTCTTCGTCTCCTGGGCACTGCTCTCAGCATTGCCTAGTACCACAATCTTGTAGATGAAACCTCAGATGCAGCTTTAGCCCCTGAGCTTGCGGGAGTTGTCGTTTTGTCGTTTACCAGTTCACATAAGTAGTAGAGGCCCGGGTCAAAAGCGCGTCCAGGGCCTTATCTGGTCCTTTCACAACATTCAACGGGTGGCGCCCCCCCACTCTCCTCCGGTACCCCCTCCAAGAAACATATGAAGTTGAAGCAACATGGCAACTTGCCTTTTGTCTTCGCACGCCCGAGTGTCCACGTCGCGGGTTTAAATCTGATGCCTTAGTAAACTGAGTTGTCAGCTTCGACAATTCGAAGCTCGTAGATGGCGGAGTTATGGCTTATTCCCGGCACATTTCTGGCACGCCGCCATGAAGTCGGGCAAGGTACTACGACAAGGGTGTATCTGTATGTGGGCCTAAGAATGCTACCATCTTGCAGGATGCAAAATGACAAAACACATGTGCCCTAAACCCTAAACCCTAAACCCTAAACCCTAAACCCGCAACAACGACCGAGCTGCTTCCTTTGTTTGCCCTATCTTCCTGGATTTTCGTGGCCGTTTTCTCAAGTTTGTGCATCTTCGCGTCTGCTGCCAGGATGGCCACGCCACAGATTCCCAGCTTCCGAACGGAGGAGCTGCTGGAAGCTCAGCTGCGCGGATCGGCGCATATCGGTGCATCTCTGTCTGCCAAGGAAAAGCTCCTGTCTTGAGCCGGGTCAGGCCAGGTTTGTTTTGACCGTGGCCGGGGCTGTCTAGACACGGACCGCAGGACACACTACGACGGAAGCTGTTTGATAACAATGACGACGAGACCTGGTTGCACGCTTGACATCCCGTCCCGGAAGATTCTTAATCTCAGTTCATTTCCCCCACCCTAGCCGCATTCAGCCTTTCTCATTAGTCACTTGCCTTGCCCACGCCAAGTGCACCGGGCCTGGTGCGACAGTGCGTGCAAATGCCTGGCGTGAAAGTCACGGAGGCCTGCAGCCTGCACTGGTCTGACAGCGAGGGCTATTGCGATGCGTTTGTTAGGGTCATGCTTCAGACGGCCACGATGCTTCTTGAGCACAGACTCGGCCCCGGAAAGTAGTTTCTTTGCTCTGACAGGCTCCGGCGCTGCCCCCGAGCAGGTTGCACCGGCTTGAGCTCGTGAGAGACTGTGCACCCTTGGTGGGTCTACGCTTGCCACGCTTCTGGCGCTTGGATCAAGCCCGGATTGCGCATGGCTGGTGAGGCGGACCTGGTCCAGGAACTCGCGAGGTCCCGGGAGCTCCTCGAGAAGGAGACGGCGAGACTAAGCCTCCAAGCATCCTGCATTGGAACCTGACACAAGTGAGGCGTCTTGAGCACTTGGGTGACGCTTGTGCGCGCGAGCTGCCGGATCAGCTTCATGTCATGACTCCAAATTCAGCAGGAGCGCGGCATGACTCAAAAAATCGTGGCCACGTGCTCGGATGAGGCATCATGGGAACAAGGCTTCCGTCGTAGGTTGCCTAGGTTTGTCTTAGTCAAGCAGCGTCCGTATTCACATCGACCTGAGGCTGAAAGAGCGAGTCTTCGTGAGCAGGCTCACAAGCCCCTCTGGGCCCTGCATCGCGTTGAGACTCGAGACCACTGGCATTAGCTAACTGGCCTCAGGTGACGAAGCTTCAGTGTGACTTGCAGGCTTGGGTTTTCCTGGAGAGATCGCAAGTGGGCTTCATAGTTTCATTCATCCCGGCTTTGCAGAGGCAGCTCGCAAGCAGCATGAACTCGACGATGTGGTCTCCGTCTGAGCTCTGTGAGCATGGTGTCTACATGGTGGATACAGATGGCGAGACAGCGAGCTTCGTGACGGTTGCGAAGACACATCGATGCCGAAGCGTCGAGTGCCACAGCTCAGTCTCAGGCCGTGCATCAGATGGCAGCGCACCTGGCAGAGTCCAAGCGCCGGGAGGAGACATCGGAATTCAGACCCGAGCTGTCGGCTCTGACGGGACTTCAGTGGGCTGGGAAAGCATCGACCTGGCTCCCGCGAATTACCAGGTTTCGATTACTGGATAGACAGATGGAAACGAGCCTCAAAGAAGCAAGAACCAGTCCCAAGCTTACCTTGCGTATCAGGACGCAAAAACAGTGCAAGTGGAGCGGCTGTCGGCGGCCATTGGAGTGCTTCAGGCTCCCAGCGCGCAGAACTCGCGGAATGTCGGCCAGTGTAGTTACGCAAAACGCGAGAGTTCAATTGGTGTGTGCGGTATGAACCAATGGAAGGAATCCACAAAGAATCAATGAAGACATAAACGACATGAGCTGGAAGGACGTGACATGAAAGAAGGCATGAATGAATGCCCAGATGGGCTGCTGTGACATGCCATGCCATGCCGTGTTACGCTGTGCCATGCCGTGGTATGCATGCATGTACAAACGTTGGCATGTTTGCATGGCAGGTTTGCATGGTTGTATGCACATATGTCTGTCTCTGTCTGTTTCTGTCTGTCGCTGTGTCTCTGTCTGCTTGTCGCCTCCGTCTCTGTCTCTGTGTCTGTCTGATTGTGTACCCTTGCAGTTATGCACTTGTAGACCTACTTGTCTGCCAATGTTCCTACCTGTCTGTCCACCCGTATATACATCTGTGCACATGCGTGTGTGCGTGCATATATAGGTCGATGGACAGATCGATGGATCGATGGCGGCTACTCTGAAGACCTACCACCGATAAAGTTGCCAACAGATCAACATGAAGGTAAAGCTACCCGTGTAGACGCAGATGTGAGTATTCAAGCACATCGTCCATGATGCTGGAAGCACACGGCGGTAAGCAAGCGACTTCATAACTCAGCATGCAAGGTACAGGTAGATGCTATGCGAAGCCAAGGTTGGATAAATAGAGGGAAGCCAATTTTCAATTTTGCCTGCAATTCCGGGTACAGTCAGCGATCCACTAGTATGGTCCCATGTTTTCGCATATGTATTGGTGCACGTATGTGCGTATGCATGTGTGTGTGTGTGGGTGCGTGTGTACGTGCAATGTTGGTGAGAGTGTGCGTGCATGTGTTCACGGTTGTGTACACATGTGCGTATGTATAGTGGCCTTCTCGCACTTCCAATGTGTGTATGGATGTGTGGTGCTGTGCTGTGCTGGGCTTTGGTTTGCATGGTGTTTCAGTGTACTCTGTCAACAGTTGGCATGAAAGCCAGATGGAACATTCAATTGGGGTTGTGTGGCCCCATGGGTGAGGCATCCATGGCGTCGGTGGTGCGAACTTCTGGCGTGGCCGCGCGCTTGGTCTTCTCCCATGAAGCACTTCAGCTAAAGCCCAGCCTCTGCAGGACACTGTAATTAACGGATCTTGGAAGTATAATTTTCGGCCGCATACGGTTTATTAAGACATCGAGGCTCGGGGACACGAGCTGCCGCAGGACGATGTCGCAATGGCCGTGCGCCGAACGAGCTTAACTTTCAAGAGAAATACCACGCCTTTTTGTGAGACAGTTTTGTTTCTGGCACATGGCAGGCGCTGAGGGCCGGCCTGTGAGGAGCTGAGAGCTCCACAGTCTCCGGCTGGTTTTGGCATCCTTTGAGTGCATGGCTCCAAAGAGTCGAGGTCGGCAGTTCAGGCGGAATCCGTATCTGCAGAGACGATTCTGGCACAGGCCGGTTGTGGTAAGCGCGAGGAGGGTGGCAATGGAACGCATCCCAAGAAACCGAGCCAACTAACTGGCAGAACTGCCGTCTATAAATGCCCTTAGTGCCGGGCAGATTTGCCCTGACGTGCCTAGGGAAGGAATGCCTCATTCTGGAATCCCGGTAATGCATGGAGTCTTTGCCCGGACTGGTGGTCCAGGCATCGGCGGCACAGACGGACTTGGAAGTATTCACTACCAACCAGGAGCGAAGAAATCGATGGTGTCCTTCACAGTGCTGGCGCGGCCTGATGCGTCTTGTTCCCCAAAGACGCCAGACCATCGACAGATCTCTCCAGGCCTGCACACCGAGACCCGCTGATAAGTCTGACTGGGCTCGTAGTCGCATCGTGCAAGAACAGCTTTTCCTCTAAGCCCGCAGCCGGACCGACAAGGGCGCGGTTCCGAGAGCTCATGTTTTGCCTGCAGGAAGACCCCTCCCTGCAGCATGTCCAGGTGCCCCGGCTTTTACAAAGGTGTGGGAGAGTGTGGTGAGCGTGGCGCTGCAGTACACTACACTGAGTCTGCTTGTGGATCACCGTCTGCTCGTAGGAAGTTGCTTTGCGCAGAAACGCTTGAATTCTTCGAAGACGCGTCGGTGTCCCCAATCCCATAGGATAGAAAGTGTGAGAAAGCCCCCATCGGCCCCATCTCCCGATCGCGGCCTTGGGGGAGGCCTCCTTGTCAGAGCTTCGCTCTCAGATCGAGAAGGCCCGGGCTGGACGCATGAAAATATTTTTCCACGGCAGGCTACACGACAGGCCCTATGTCCCTCGGTGAAAGTGACTACCCTATATCCGGGCATTTTCATTGCCTCGTCTGCGTGTGTCGCGCGGCAGGCGGCTCCTTCTGCAGCCCCACGTGCCGAGCCAGGTGTGTGGCACAGCTGCCCGTACTAGAAAAACGTAAGCCCCGAGCACGACTCAGTTTGGTCTCCAGCAAGGGGTCATTGACGGTCAAGCCTTGTCCCTACCCCAGCGAAAGACTAGAATCAAGCCTGTGCACCGTCTCTCTTTCAAACTTAACCAGTCCCAAAGACCAATGCTTACAATCCAAGTGAGCTAGACTCGGACAAATAAAGTGTTTCACGAGCTTGCTTTTGTCCGTTTGCATCTTCATGCCGAGTGCTGGCAGTGGGCCAAGCAGCTCAGGCGAGCAGCCCTCAACTATGGTTCAAGCGCCCTTAGAGGCCATTTGCTGGTGGATATGTGCCATATGGGATTGTCGTCTTTCTGGCCTGAGGCTGTATTGGCTGTTCTGTCCTTTTGTGCATGAGCACTGTGTCGCCGAAACCTTCGCTAGGCTAACCGGTCGGAAAGACCTGCGAAGCCTCGATGGGCCGGGCTCTTGGAGTGCATGGGCTCAGTTAGAGCAGTAAACAGCAGGCCACAGGAGTTTCGCAAGCCGACCTCCTCTCACTTTCTGGGCCCCAGGCCTATGATCTTGTCCATCCTCGCTGAAGCTTTGTTGATCGTTTTGATACCCCGTTTGTTTTTTTTTGGCGCAAACAAACAGGGTGCCCGTCATCTGGCCGGGTCTCCCTCCCTCCCTCCCTCCCTCCCTCCCTCGCTCTCTCTCTCTCTCTCTCTCTCTCTCTCTCTCTCTCTCTCTCTCTCACAGTCTGCCTTGCTGTCCCGCTCTTGACGCTTTCCTACACTTTGCATGATACAAGTTATGATGTGACGCAGTAGCTGGGTCTATACTGTGAATTCGCGAGGCTGTGAAGTAGACATTTTTGCCTTCTATTCGTGTGCTTGTGAGTGTAAAGCAAAGCTTATCTGTCATCATGCAGTAACATGTTTGAGCACAACACGGTCACTCGCTAGATATTCGCATACATTTATGAGATAAACGAAAGCATGGTGTTGTTGCATAGTCCATGGTACAGACCTGCTGGTTGTTACGGCAACGCACAGGGAGGCCATAAGTAGTGCGTCGGAGGACGGTTGGCGGCGTGGGCTGTTACAGACAGGGTTTCCGCACATAACCATAGTTGAATAAGAAGGCACTCATTCAACCTGTATCAGCAGAGGACATCACCTTCCAGTGAAGGCTCTGCAATACCAGGTTGTACTAAGGGCAATGGTGAAGCAAAGTTGTTGCACTGTCTCACATGGAAGCGCATGGCACATGAGACTCACGAGATGCTGAAGCAGGTAATCATGTGTGTTTCACCTGTGGAATCGTTTGGCTTAGCTGATGCCGCTCCTTGAGTTCTTTCCATGTGATGCTGCAAGATGCGCTCTTGAATGCGTGGTCTCTGGAAGCTTTTAATCATTTCGTCTTGAAATTGTGCTATGATTCGCTATGATGTAAACAAAGTGAGTTTGGATTACGCTGTGTTTCATCAACGACTTAAATTTGTGACATGTCCTGCGTTAGGTTCTGCATGACATCTTGTTTTTGATGTGGCAGCTACTAGCTAGACCATTTCTTTGAGCATATTTACAAGACGCTGTGTGGCTTACCAGCCGATGAGGCCCCCTACATATCCTAATGCCTGGCTCCTGGAAAGCCGGATGCTGTTTTGGGGCGTGCGAGGATGGCTACTACCTCTCGTCACCCCCGACAATGGCAACGCGTCGTTCGCGCAACACAGCAGGCCAAGGGTTTGTTGTTTGTTGGGAGCCCGGGGCCTGGGCCTGGGCCTGGGCCTGGGCCTTGATGGAATCCAGCACTGCCGGTGTTGAGGGGAGCAGACTTCAGCGTGCGTGGCTTTGAGTCCGAAGCTGCAAAACTCTTGCAGGCTCGACCCCTGCGAGAGAAGCTATAGAGTCGCCACAAGCTCGCAATGGTCAGTGAACTGTTTCCAAGAGGAGTCGGCCTTTCTTTGTTGCATTCGGCAAACCGTGCTGTTCTTTCGGGCACGGGGCGACTGTTTGATTGAGCCAACCTTGAAGAGCAAAGGCCAGCAACTGGACGGCAGCGGCTGGATGACGACGATGCTGCCGGTGCACCCTGCCTGGCGGCTACCGTGGAACAGTAGGATGTCAGGAGACAGCTGAAGCATTCCAGCTCTTCGGCACCTGCCAGTGATGCTGATCAGGAATTGACAGCACAACATGGGTTAGTTTTTTCTTCCCACTTGCCAGGTGCATTGGATGATGGCCTGCCACCACCACCGAACACTAAATGCGAGGATCTTTGGCAAAGCAGTAGGCACTTGAGGCATGCGGTCTTTGCTTTCGTGCCCAAGCGAGGTTGGGAGTGGCCACTCTCCAAGCCCGAGAAGCAGGAACGTGTGGCCAGCATCTCGGGCACCTCGGATCTGGCCAGCGGCCGGGACCCCCAAACGAAACGACCTCCTGCGCACATGCTCAGGCGATGATCGAGGGGCAGCTGTGGCCCGGGGCCCCGAAACGCCCGAAGAGCTTGGGGAAACGACTTCGCTGCGCAGCGTTGGCTGAGGCGATATGACCAGTCGGGGCTCATCGAGCAGGCTCAACATCCTTTGCATGTAGCAACTGTAGAACAGAAGCTCTTCTGTCGCTTCGCTTGAGAGACCAAGCTGCAGGCAAGTGTTGTGTTGAAGAGACTTTCTGGAAACGAGAGCATCGCTCACATGGCTACATCCACACATGATGCGGTGCGCGTTTTTCTCTGGATATTCAATATTCACAGATTTGTTGTGTGATGCTCCATACGGGACTGCGGCTTGCAAAGATTTGTCGGCTGCAAGCATCTGATTCGCTGAATAGTTTCAGTACTCACACGGAGCATGTCGCCTATGTGCCAGCTGTAAATGTACTTGGCTGCCTCTGAACAGACAAGTTTTAGGCATGCGGATTCCTCAATGTATTTGAAAAGCGAACGCGGAAAGCAAAGACATGTAAAAGCAACATCACGGCCATGTGAAGCAGGTCGAAATGCTGGAGGGCATCTGCGTGGAAGCCTCAGATGCCATCATCGGCGCGGGCACATGGCACAGAGCCGATTCATGGAAGCAGGTCGAACAATTCAGCCCGCATAAGACGCCACAGCATTTTAGATTTGCCGCGGCTCTGGCGCGATTGCCACTTTCCTAATTAGGCTTACTGTCAAGGTTCGGATCCCATGCAGAAACCCTCCAGAGCTTTTTTCACGTTGCCTCGACGACACGTCCAGAGGCTCAGCATGGCCTCCTGCCGGCAGCGGAAGAGGCTCGCAGCAGTTCCCCGCACTCTGCAGGCTTCCGGTAGCAACTCCATGATGATTTGCACAGGTTTCTGACGACGACTCCTCCGTTGGCAGCGAAGAGTCGGTCTGAGCCTGGCAGCCGAGGCACAGCTGATGGTTAGCCGTCAGCAGCTTCTCGTTCACCCTGCACATCGGTTTGTGCATCATTGAGTCAACGCTGTCTTTGAATCCGTTTTATGCCGTGCGCTGTTCATGTTGCGACCGTGAGCCTGTGAGTAGTGCCCTACCTAAAGCGCAGGAACAGTTGCTAGGAGTCAGCAAATTGTTGAGAGGCGGGAGTTGCCGAGCCTTCTTGACCGCGTGCAGCCTTCTGTGCGCATGGAACGCAGCTACATGTGCCTAGGGGTAGAGCTCGGATGTTGAAACTCGGCGTCTTCCAGCACGTTTGGTTTTGTACCCCAGTGTTGGAGCTTCGACATCCAGAGCCTGTTGGTTGATGCTGCAGAGATCAACCTTTGCTGTCAAGCGTACGTCTCCATGCACTCGATATGCACAACACGACCAGCAGCTAGCCATTGGTCCAATTGTCTGCTCTTGGTCGTCAGTCTTCCTTGGTAAGGATGTCGCTGCATCCAGAAATTCGGCTTTTAGCCTAAAGAGTTGGAGACTTGTGCTTGGCAGCTCCATTGCGGTACGCAATGACACCAGGTTAATGACAAACCTGATGCAGCCTCACATGGAAAGCACGTGCCACGATCACCACAGGACTCAAATTTCTTGCCTGCCTTGTGGGGCTATTGCTTGCCAGTTTGGTTTAATGTCTGTATGCTTTGATGCCAAGCAGCTGAGGCATCTTCTGCATAAAAATAGGACCATCAGTAGATTCTAAGATAGTACAGTAGCGTGCGGCTCAACATTTTCTTGCCCATGGCATCGAACTACAATTCGCGCATGCCTTCTGCGCGGCACTGCGGCAGATGCTAGCAAGTTGCCTTTTCAGACGGTGTTCCTCAAATTCTGAGACCTTGGTCAGATCAAAAGTCTGGGTTGCCAGCTGCAGTGCATCTGTCCCAGTGCGCAGCAATGTCTCTCAGATCCCAGAGAAGCTCCTCGCAGTGGATCAAAAGTTCATTCGGCAATGGTTCAGCCAGAGCCTAGTGACGAAGGTGAAAGTAGGTCTGCTCGACTAGCCTATAGCCTTTTCATGTCCTCCTCGGTCACTCCGGAATCTACTCGATGCGTCCTGGTTCCTACGACAAGTAGTCGTCCGAACTGTGACAGTTCATGCCTGCTTCTCTGAACAGCTCATGAAGGATCAGCGCGACGCCGCTTCAGTGTTCTAGAGTAGGGCCCGCACCGGTGAAGCTGGGCATCAGGGCCACGGTCAAGGCCCGACTGCGAGTGCGACTTGCTTTGCCTTTCAAGGGGATGTCTGGGAATTTGCCGCAGCAGCGTCCGGCTTACGGCTTCAGGATGGCGTCCACAGACCCGCGCAAGATTGCGGAGGCATGGCCGTTCAAAGCTTGACTTTGGGCATTTTGGCCTTTGGCTTGTGTGAGATTACATGATGGAGTACATCAATAACCATAACTACATTTTAACCACATAGCACGAGCTAGGGACTGTTGACATTGGGTTTGCTTGAAACGTCTTGGATCCGAATCTCGTACCCGCAGATTGTTCGTTGTAGAGGTCCGTGATGTCCATAGACTGGAGAGAATCGGTGCAGGCCTCAGGAAGACGGGTTCATCAGAATGAAGGAGTCGATGATGCACTCTTCTGGTGATGGCAGTTGCCCGACAGCTCCGACGATTTCCAACAGGGGTTAGAGAAGTGCACGACACCTTATTGAAGTGTATTTGTTCACTCCACTTGGCATCAGAATTCGCCTAACCCCGACCTTCCAGTAAGGCGCCCATTCGCACATCCGTGGCCTTGGCCTGGATGATGCACTGGATGCGCGCATGGTCTCGCAGGCCCCGTGGAGCAGAGGGTTTGCCGACATCAATGTCCATGTGTCTCAGTGTTTCCGAGATGCATCGTTCTATATCTGGCTCGCAGATTCAGATGGAGATGTTTGGGTTCGCCGAGGGTTGCAAGCTCTCCAGTCAATCCAGAGTATATAAGCAGTTTGTGCCACTGCTTGGTGCTGTACCCGCGAGAGGTAGAGCACATCTGAGGGTTTCGTGAAAGTGGACAAACCGACATGGCTTGTTCTTGGGCCTGTGCTCTTGTCAGGGCATGGTCGGCCAAAACGGAGCTAGGCAACGACCTGCATCGGTACTCTCTTGCCAAAGATTGTGCTGTCATTGTCTGTGCCGTGCGCATGCCAGCGTATGCGTGCGGACTCCTGGCTTGAACAGCATTTGTCACTGGCTATGCTGTCAGATTGACACACTGTTCTGTCATATCATGTTGTTCCTGTTCTGAAGAGGCGAGCTGCGGGTGTGATTTTGTCCATGATCCAGGCTGGCTTGTTTTGAGTGCCCTTCACCGAAGGGTGCGAGTCCGTCTGAGCTGATTGGTGCTGCAGCTAGCTTCTGATACGCTGAGATCAGGAGTTTCGTCCGACTCGCGAGTGTTGAATGCTTTCGTAGCTGTGCGTGATAGTCTGATACTGTGCAGGAAGAGAAAATTGCTGGACGAGCCGTCCTCATTGCTGGCCAGCCGGGAACTGGCAAGACTGCCCGTCACCAAGTTTCTTCGTTTGCATCCTTTAAGGAGATCAGCGGGGGGGGGGAGGGGGGTGAACGAGCGGAGTGCTGCTCTGCTGAGCGATGTTGAAAGCACCAGTCTTGTGCACAGCTTTACTTTCCCGAAGCCGCTCCAGTACTCGTAGCCCCATCGGAACTTCGGTGTCTGGTGCCTCCTTCGCCTCACCTGACCCGACATGTTTCGGACTGGCTTCTTCCCCAATCCTCCGCATCTAGTTCCAAAGAAGCTCGCAGTTTGCAAGGCTTTACACGGACAGCCTTGTCAGTACATTTGTCACCGTCGAGCCAAGGCCATTGCAATGGGCATGGCCAAGGCGCAGAACGGTCGTATCACATCATTGTTGCATCAGTGGTTGATTTTGTGAGTGAGCCGTCGGAGCAAGCTGCGTGGAAGAAGGCACTGGGTGACGACACGCGATGGACTCGGCTTCTTGTTCGTTGCGAGGATTTGCAGCTTACAGTTACTGGGCACACAAAGGCCCTTCACCATGCTAGCGGGATCGGAGATCTTCTCACTGGAGATGTCCAAGACCGAAGCCCTGACACAGGCAGGGTCAAATCGTAGGCAGCCACAGGAGTATGCAGGAACAACTTGGCAAGATGTAGTTTTCCAGCCATTCCTGTCCATGTCCTGTTGAGGCGTTTCGAAGATCCATTGGTGTCCGAATACGAGAGGAAGCCGAGATCATCGAAGGAGAGGTAGGACAGTGTTAGAGTCACATTCATAGTTCCCACACTATTCGTCAGTCTCAATCTTGCCGAACCCTTGCCTCTGCTCGTCTTCTTCCTTTCAAAAGAGTTGAGCACTTGTGCCAGGTCGTAGAAATCGAGATTGAGCGCCCGGCGAATGGCCAGGCGGCGACCTTCGGTGTGCCCGGCTGTTACGATCTTCTCAAGGTGGTTGCAGCTTACGTGCGATGCTTCGACAGCCAGGATCAGCCAAACTTTGTCTTTCGAAGTTTACAAAGCCTTCCTTTGGCTGGAAAGTGGAGCACGGTTGGTTTAGTTTGTGCAGACACTGACACTGCCAGGTAAGATGACCTTGAAAACAACCGAGATGGAGACCATGTATGATCTCGGGCCTGCCTGACCAACACAGTGTGTCTGAATGCAAGACGGATCATGCGATGTGCATGTCCACTGCGAACTACAACACCCTGCGGGGGCAGGCAGAAGATGATCGAGACCATTCAGAAGGAGCAGATCCAGGCCAGCTCGATCGGAGGATTCCCTGGGGACTTAGGACTGGATGATAAGAAATCAGAAGGAAGACACCAACCGCTCAACCCATACTAGTACCACACTTGTGACTGAGTGTATAAGCTGAGGAGTCTTGCGCCAGCCGATCTAGCAATCTAAAAACCTTTGCTAGGTGCCTTCCTAGGTCTCGAACCCTCAATCCGCCAAAGCCGCCAACCAATCGAAGCTATTTGTGGCAGGCCGGGGACATCATCACAATTGATAAGTCCTCTGGCAAGATCTCTCTTCTAGGTCGATCTTTTGCAAGGCCCGCCCGCTTTTTGTTTGAAATCTTCCATGCACTTTCGCCTCTTCGCCCCCTGGTGTCCGACTGCAGGTCCCGCGACTACGATGCCATGGGTCCACAGACTCGCTTCGTGCAGTGCCCCGAAGGTGAGCTTCAGAAGCGAAAGGAGGCCGGTTGAAAGCGACGGCTGTGGTGAATTTGGCTTGTAACACGGCCCAAGTCCCGAGATCGTCTCTTCTTCTTGTCAACACCCGAGGCTTCGCTTCAAAACGTGTCTGGTGGATTTTTGTTGTTCCGAGTGCGCAAGCTCGTCTGCCGTCTCCTGCAGAGCTCTTGCTGCAGTCTGCTGCTTTCGGGACGGGCAGCAGCGCTCCGACAGTCTGCCTGTCACCGCAAAGTTGGAGTCAGAAACGTCGGAAGGTGGTACACACCGTGAACCTGCATGAGATTGATGTCATCAACAGCCCGGCTCCAAAGTCCAGTGTGGTGGCTTCCAGATGGGATTCTTCGGACATACAGGCTACGACTACGACGACGATCTCGGCGCCTCCCAGTCTCTCCTCTACTCCGACAAACGATTTTGGGTTTAATGATTTTTTTGACGTAGCTTTTTGCTCAGGCCGGCAGCAGGGCTTCCTGGCCCTCTTCGCCGGTGACACGGGCGAGATCAAGCACGAGGCCCTTACGGCTGGGAGATGGACTCAAAGCGGCTCCGTGACGGTGGTGACGGCGGTGACGGGTAGCGGATTCTACTTTTGTACTGCGAGAAAGATGGTGACGATCGCAAGTCAGAGGCTACATTACAAGCGTCGAAGCTACCGGATCAGGCGGAGTGGTAGCGGCAATTGGCGCTCGTCGTAGTAGTGGCAGTAGGTGCGGTGGAAGCCTACTTCTTTTCCTGTTCCTTTTCCAACCTCTGCTTTTCCAGCACTCGTGCTCGTACTTCTACTCCTATTCCTGCTGCTCCTGCCGCTTCTACTTTTACTCCTACTGCTACTCCTATTCCTTTATTCCCACTCCTTCTCTGCTCCTACTCCTGTTCCTATTCCTACAACGGCAGAACATGAACTACAACTACTAGTACCGCAGCCGATCCGACGACGACGACCACCAGTACTCCTTGATGCTCCTAGTACTAGCAGGGCTACCAGTACTACCAGTACTTCAAGTTACACCAGTACTACTAGTACTACGAGTACCACTATCTTGGCATTCGTATTTGCATTGGTGTTGGAATTGGTATAGTAGCCAGTAGCCAGTAGTTAGTAGCAGTTGCAGCAGCAGCACCAGCATTAGTTGAAGTCGCAGTCGTTGCAGTCACAGCCTCAGCTGTGGTGGTGGTGGCGGCGGTGGTGGTGGTGGTGCTTGAACTTATCATGAGGAAAGAAGTCGAAGGTTTGTACAGCAGAAGAACGTGGAGATGCGACGTTGCCCTGGTCAGGTTCGGGAGCAGATAGATGCCAAGGTCGCCGAGTGGCGCGAGGAGGGCAAGGAGGGGCTAGGGCTGTTCGGACTTAAGGACTTTGGGGGTTTTGAGGTTTACATGTTCCAAGCTTTCGTGTTTCAAGATCCGTTGTGGGTCTGTTTGCGGAGTCGAGCCCGCCAGGCAGACATTGTGCCAGGAGTGCTCTTCATCGACGAGGCCGGAAGCATTCGTCCAGGTAGAAGTGACGTCAGTAGGACGCAACATGCACTCGCAACTTGCGCGCACCATGCCCGACTCTTTGCACCGTTCCATGACGTGGAAGAGGTGCACATGCTGGACATCGAGTGCTTCTCCTTCCTGAATAGAGCGCTGGAGGTCCACCCCATGGGTTCCCGTGAAAATTTCAAGTTCACACGAAGTTCACATGGTCTCAGCTCAGGCTCCATGAACGAGGTGACTGACACCTAAGGTTTTGTGCCTGCATTGCATGTCCTTCGCCGGAACCTGGCTCTACCAGCGACACACATTCTAACGTAAAAGCTCAGCTAATCTGGGTTATCAACCATGCTGCGACCACCTTGTGCAATAAATTCTGACGCACGGTAAGCGGCCGCATCAGAGCTCTGTCGAAAGCCGGCGTTCGCACTTCAACTTCAATCGGTACCATGCCTTTCTTCGGGAAGAAAAAGAAGAAGCAGGACTCCAAGTCCGTGTCCGAAGCTCATCTGTTGGACAGCAGCAGGCATCCCAGAAAGGACAAGGCGGCCTTTTACTGAAAGCAGGCCAGACCTTCCAAAGCTGGATCTGGCTTTGACGGTTGCATGCATCTTGGCTGACAGATTTGCAGATCACCCTCAGCCCACCAGGGCCATACCTGTATGCAGTGCAGTGCTGTGCCTGGGCGTAACTCGTTGAGCGAGGCTTTGCCTTCCTGATCGTGGATACCGCGGCTGGGTCGCAGAAAAGAAGACAGCAGTGCTAACAGGTTTGAGCAGCCGGGTTTTGTAGAAGCTTTGGAGACGGTCCGGGCTGAGGCACTCTTCACGCGCTATGAAGGGTCTCATGTCGTGGCAGAGCTGGCCGTGCGGCTTGGCTCGGAAAGGGCAGTGCCTGCTCCATCATGGGCCGGGGATGAGTACCAGAGGGGTGAAGTCTGTCGAATCCCGAGGTTCCTGCGTAGGTGACCTTGGGAAGCCAATTTCCCAAACGGAGCGACACGCAGGTACATGTTGGTGACAGCTGTGGCGATTGCAGCATGTAGCTTCGATGCACTAAGACTCGACCCTCGGCCAGGAAAAGAGATGGTCTTGGTCTTGTTTACCTCAGAGCCTCAACTTGACAGCCCAAGGCCGCGCAGCAGCAACGGCCATGGGAAGAGCGCTATCAACAAAGGAGGCGGGACCACGACGCCCGCGAACCAACTCATCTGTGTGTTAGAGCCTGGTTGGCATCGGTTTCATCCAGCGCCGGACCCTTCGACTCATGTCGGCTTAGGCTTATTCCTTGCATTCTACAAGTGTGAAAGTCCGCCTGATCGCGAGGCTCTGGCCGCCCCTCGCAACTTGGCATGGACATGGGACAGGTGTGAAAGATACTTGCAGGGACTGGCTTTGGGCTTTGATCTTCCGGCCTGATTCATATTCTTTCATACTGCAGCCCATGTGAACCCTGAACATCTCATGTTCAAGCAAGGCCAAGGCCCTTGCCACTGGACCTAAGGAAACCTTCGAAAGTTCTCCGACCAGTCCTGGCAGCTTGTTGTACACGTGCTGATGACCGCCTACGCTCCATGCCAAAGATGGAGATTATAGGGCTTTGGGGTGTGGTTGGGGGGGTTGGAGTCCAGCCGAAGTCGGCTTTCCTCGGAACATGTTGCGGGCAAGTCAAAGGGACAAAGTGAAAAGCAGGTCGGTAGTGTGCTGCTCAAACCTAACGGAGTTGTTAATGGGCGCACTCAATGTTCGCACAAGATGGTGCATGGCTGTTCGTGTCGTGAAACCTGGTTGGTGATCAGGAAGTCCTGTTATTCCAAAGGAATGGTGCCATCCTCAGATTCTCTGCGTTTGAGCGGGTGAATGCGACCCGAGGACAAATGGTTAGTGTCAGTGACATTCTCAGTTCATTGCTCGGTGGGTCGGTAATGTTTGGACTGGCTAAGGCTGGGAGTGGTGGACGGACACAACGAAGCTAGGCAAGCACCGTGTTCTGAGTCTCCCGTCTCTCGCAAACGGCATTGAAGTTTATCGTGCATTTTTCGATTTCCCTGGGCGGAGTGCGTTGGCAAGGACTCTCTGGGACCGTCCCTGGCAAGATAGCGGCCACTCTTGAACGAAGGATCTTTTCAGGGCTTCAAGGAACTGTTCCAGCAGGTCAGTAGGCCGACTGCACACCCGTCCAGCTCTTTAACTTTTGGAATCTGAGGTGGCGAGTGTCCGCCAGATCTCCGCACGTTGTACATCGCACAGCTGGCCATCTGGTTCCTCGGAGAAGATGAGGGTGTTTTGTAGACGTGGAAGTAGGGTTCGACTCATGTAAGAACACATCCGTTCACTTCGCGGGTTTGGTGTTTCGGCGGAGGGGCGGTCGCATTGCAGACTTGACCTTCGCCAGCTTCACAATATCATCTGAACTGCAGGAAGATTCTGCCGAGGTTTGTCACAGCCTTTTCGCACAAGTTTGTGGAAGCCAAGCACAACGACTACTTCGACACTTGGCCTGAACTGACAGGCAAGCCGGTTCCCGGGAGAGCGCATGGCATCCCTGTAAGGTGATGTACGGGCATCATGTTGCCACCCTGGGCTTGGTCTCTCTCTCCTACTTCAACGGCTGGCAGCCAATTGGCACAGGGCTTAGACACGATGAAGTGGCTTACGGAGTGCCTGCTGAAGCCGCTGACTGGTTGTGTTTTTGGATGTCGCGGCTTCCCATCGCTGTACCAGGCCTTAGCACGCTTTTCGTCCACGATTCCTCGGACATCATTGTTGACCTGCTCCTTGTCAAGCTATGCCTGAGGCTACACCCTGCCGCCCTGACCAGTGTTGCCAGGTAGAGTCAGTAGTAGAGTGCTTCGAACTTTCACCAAGCTATAGAGATCATTTTCGTGAATAAGGCTTTTAGACAAATGTGAGCTTCCTGCTGGGCTTAAGAGAGAAGCAAGAAGGGTGGACGTGATTCCGCTCAACAAGCAGGAACTAGGATTCGAATTGATGCCCGGTAAGTCATGAGAGGCGAACACTTGTAAGATCTGTGTAAGGTTGAAAATGGTGAACTACCTCGGGTATGTCGCCTGGCTGTGCGTGTATCGTGGACAAGAGCCCACTCTTCAGCGATGCAGGGCAAATGCAGGGCGCCGCACGCAAGCTCGGAACTCTGCATCTCTGTGGCCGAGGACTCGAAGAGCGGGCTTTTCCTTGCAGAGGGCTTCTTTGCTGTCAACTTGGTCACCTGGTTCCTGATGCGCAACCTGGCTGAGAAACCCAGCTCTGTGGCCTCCTGGACTTCACGTTCCTAGCCCGAGGTACTTACTTCTTCATTCTGAAGGTCATCAGGCAGGGGAGCTGCCAAAACAAATGCCAGGATAGTTGTTTGAAAGAGCTCTTTTGTGCGGTGTCTACCTTCTCGCTCTCAGGTCAACAATCCCGAAGGATTACTTCGCACCAGGGTGGGGTCCCTCGGCTCTGGAAACAGAGACTTATCCAATCATCGTGTGTCGTAGTCACCGCATTCTGCATGCATATCAAGATAGAGATGTACTTAGTTGTATATGTATATGTATATGTACATATGTATAGGTCTAGGTATAGGTATAGGCATAGGTATGGGTATAGTATATGGCGCCTCTGTGCATGTACATGCATGCTTACATGTATATGCCTTGTATATGTACATGTATATGTGTGTGTGTACACGTGGATGTATACGCATCTGTATATGTATTTCATATGCAGATATGTATGCAAGCGTACACAGACACTAACACATACATACGTATATCTATGAAATCATGCATACATACAGCGTATCTACCTACCCATCGCTCCATCTGACGATCGATCTATCTATCAATCTATTCATCTCCTCGGTCTGTTTTTCCATCTCCCTGTCTCTCTGTATGTATATGTATATTTATGCGGCCATATATACCATTTATGCACCCCCCCCCCGCACACACACAAACGTATGTATATGTGTGAGTGTGTATATATGTGTTTTAGGAATGCATGCAAGCATGCATGTATGCACGAATGTGTGTTTCTGTCGGTGTACGTTTGAGTATGTAAAGAGGTGAGTATGTATATAGTTACGTATATGTATACATCTGTATCTTTTTAAAACACATATAGTCATTCACATGTAACTTGCGAAGACGCCGCGATAGAATATGTGTTTGCAGAACGAAGACGCAAGCTTGAGACCAACGCTTGCGGATGAGGCGACTATGACCGCAGCGCACCCCTGGTCAGCCCTCAAAATGCTTGCCGGCTGCTGCTCATCGTCCTTGGCCTGATGCATGTGCATCTTGGAGGCTGCAAGAACATGTGGGGCTCGGGACCTACTTTCCGCGCACTTCTGGAATCTCCTCTCCGATGTGATAAAAATATGCTAGCAAGGGGCCTTGTCTAGTAAATGTAGGGAAAGATTTGCATCACCATCCAGCAACACTCAAACGCTAGCGCAACATGCAATGGCACATACTAGCATGCTACAGCATATCAGGATGTTGTAGGACCAGGAGAAACTAGTACGCGGAGACCTTTGCGATTGCAGGGGATTGGCCTCCCTGCCCACGTATGCAATTTGACTGTGGCACAAAACAATATGATACAAGTAGCTTGCAGCCTCTCAGGCCAGCCATTGCAGCAAGTTTGAGCAGTAAGGCTTCCGCCACGCCACCCAAGATCCTCAACTAATCCTTCGCCCTGCTTGTCTTTTCTTCTTTCGAGCCTCAGCGCCTCAACGGTATGAAGTCCAAGCTGATGTCGCAGTTTTGCTTATGGGGGCCAAGGTATTGGTACTGCCTCTTCTGGCGGATCCTGGTTCGACTACTACGAGGCTCTGCAGGTCATGAGGCCGGCAGAGAATACGAGGCCAGGGCCGGAAAGGATGGAAACTGTAAAAGTCAAGAGGGGGTGTGTTGCAGCTTTCATCTGTGCGGATGCACAGCAATCCTCATGTGACTCGTCTTGCACAGTACAGTGGCAGTGGTTGCAGACATAGTCCTTCCCGCGTCATCACCATGATCATGTCATCATCATCATCATCATCGTCATCATCATCATCATCATCATCAGCAGCAGCACCGTCATCATCATGATAATTATCGTCATGATTATCATCATCATCGTGATTATCATCATGATCACCATCTTGATCATCTTCAGGATCATCATCATCATCATCATGATCGTCATCATCAGCAGCAGCACCACCATCATCATCAGCATCATCTTTTACCTCTACAAGCATAGCAGGAATGGTGGTGTTAGTGGTGCTAGTGATAGTGGTAGTGGTGGTGGTGGTGGTGGTGATGGTAGTAGTAGTGGTGGTGGCAGAAGTAGCAGTTAGTCTCGGTTCGTAGTAGTGGTGGTAGTACTAGTAGAAGCAGCAGGAGTAAAGTAGCGGGAGGAGGAGGAGGAGGAGGAGGAGGAGGAGGAGGAGGAGGAGGAGGAGGAGGAGGAGGAGGAGGAGGAGGAGGAGCGCCTTCGCAGTACTAACGCACAACAGAACCAGTGCAACACTGTTCTAACAGCTTCCATCGCTGGGAGAAAACGCTGGGCAGCTCGCAGGGCAGCTCGGACTCCGAGCCCGAGGAGACAAACGGCGCGAAGGCCTTCGGGTTTACTTTAGGGTTCAGGTGTTTCTGGTTTGAGGACGTGCGGGTTTCAGAGTTTGAGGATTGTGCAGGTTTAGCTCTTTGAGGGTATTTAGGGTTAGAGGGATGAAGGGTTAAGGGGTACAGAGGCCGGGTACAGGGGCCTTACCTCAGCCACTTTGGCGTACAGGCTCCCGTCGAAGGGTGGCCCAGGATTTCAAGTAAGACACACATGAGCTCATGAATTTGCTGGTCTTTCAGCCCACCCTTCAATGAGATGCCTAGAAGTGGAAGGCGTCCGAGCAAGCTCGGCTCTCCCGGTGTTCCGACTTTTTCGCTCTTCCAGCCAGGCGAACGGCAAGAAGGACTGATACAAGAAGGCACCCAGGTGCTGGGCAGCGAGACGAGGGTCTCGCTCCGCGTCGACTCTTATCGCTACTATTGGAGATGCAGTACACGCAGCTTACTTTCACTTGTGAATGTCATCATGATTTCCTTTGATGTGGGGTTGACAAGGCGAACAGCCATCTTGCCTTGTGCAAAGCTTCCATCTGAGGAGTGCTTTTCTCCCGAAGTACCTCGCCTCTCGCTAGGTTGCACAGAGCGCAGGATCCCAAGGATCCGGCTTGCTCTGCTAAGCGCTTTAGGGGCTCGCAAAAGGAAAAGAAAGGCATCCTTCTGCGTGCTACAGTCTTGTGAAAGCTCACGCTTTGCAGTTGTTCCCAGTCAATGCCGTCTGACTAACAAGACTCGAGGTGGTGGTGGTGATGCTGCTGCTGCTGCTGCTGCTGCTGAAATCTGCTGCTGCTGCCGCTGCTGTCGCCTCTACGTCTACGACTACTCCTGCTACTCCTCCTATTCCTACCACTCCTCCTCTACTCTTGCGGCTACTCGTCCTACTACTGCTACTGCACCTACGATTGCTGCTGCTACTGCTACGGCGACGGCTCCTGCTCCTCCTACTGCTGCTCTAACATGTTGCTCCATGGTGAGAGCGTGGTCAGGCAGACTCAGCACCAATCGTCATCATGGCCACGAACAGAGGGATCACCAACATCCGGGGCACCGACTACAAGAGCCCACACGGTGGCCCGGTGTTGGCTTTGACCGGGTCATCGGACTCGATTCTGAGATTCTGTCAGTTGAGTTGGCCGCTGGGCGACTTCGTGTTGAGGCGTTTCAGTTGCCAGGATTCTTTCTGATGTGAAGAGCAACAGGTCTTACTGCTCTGAAGAGAGCAAAGAATCATATCAAGAGATGAACGCTTTCGCTACTACTTGAGGTATTCCTCTCGACTTGCTGGACCGCATGCTGATCATCTCGACTCAGCCGTGACCCGGCCGAGAAGGGGCGGGTTGCCAACTAATTTCTAAGTGTGCAGAAGACTGACTTCAAGCACCAGGTACACGCAGAAGGAGATCCGAAAGATCATCGACATCCGAGCCGAGGACTTCGCTCTCTGCCGGTTTGTAGGAGTCTTACGGTGTAAGATATCTAAGGCATCTAGGGTGCAAGTGACAGCAACGGAAGTAACTAGTAGGAAGAAGCAGAAGCAGCAGCAGCTGCAGGCGGAAAGGGTCGTCGTGGCCGTCGAAACCGTAGTGGTAGTGGTGGTGCTAGTGGTCGTGGTGGTGGTGGTGGTGGTGGTGGTGGTGGTGCTGGTGTTGGTCGTCGTCGCATTAGGGGAGTGGTAGTAGTGGTAGTAGTAGTAGTAGCAGCAGCAGGAGGAAGTAGTCGTAGTACTAGGAGTAGGGGTGGAGTAGGAGTATGTGAGGAGTAGGAGGAGGAGGAGTAGGAGTAGGAGTAGCAGTAGGAGGAGTAGTAGTAGTGGCAGTAGGAGAAGGAGTAGGAGTAGGAGCAGGACGCAGGAGTAGGAGGAGCAAGAGTAGGAGGAAGCATGAGAAGTAGCTCGTCGCACCAGCAGTGATACTCAGTAACAGGAGCAGCAGTGCTTGGGTCCGGACGCAGTGGTGACAACTGTACTTCCCAGAAGCATGAGCTCGATCAGAGCCTCGGTGATGGTGGCAATCTGTAATCTCGAGAAGTTGATGTCACCTTTATGACATCTTGCGCATCCAACTTAACCGAAATTAACCGAAACTGTCGTTTGCCTGGTCGTGGCTCGAACCGGCAGGTGTAGATTTCACACAGCGGCATGTTTTTTTGGGGGATGATGCAAGCAGTGTGAGCCTTCCATCTCAGGCTTAGGCCAGGTGGTGACAGATGTCAATGTCATAATTTCGAGTCGTATTGAAGCACTCTTGGCGGTGTGCGAAGCACAGTATCCCATGACCATACCTCGGACATCCTCAGGCCCGTAAGGCTTTATGCCAGCCGAGTCGGACCGCAAAAGGGCAAGGTGGTGGGACCAACTACATCGGTCCCAGCAGGCATCAACAGCTGTGTTATCAGTGCTGTCTCACCCCATCAGAGCCAAAGTCCACACGCTTGCCGCGTAGCTGCGCACAGTGCCTTCCTCAGGGTGCTATGAGCGTTGCGGTTGCAGGGCTGGCACGCTGCACTCAGAACTCAGGCAAGGAAACTTTCTCAAATTCAAGCATGGTCCAGTTCTCAGTCGAGAGGCAGAGTCAGTGCGACTTGCAACGCCAATGGAGCTCTGAGACTGAATCTCTTTGAGTGTCAGGCAACAGACCACGGGCGGATTGGGATTCGTTCAGCTTGCCTCCTTCGCATTTCCTGTCCGCCGAGGCTCCGATTCCATGGTCGGAAGCAGACCCTTTCAGCATCTCAATGTATGCGCAGGCCACTTGACATGCGTGCTCTCGCCATCATCTCTAGTCTGCTGGTGGGGCTCATGCAATGGCTGACTGCACAGGAGTCCGTGTACTGGAGCTGCCTCCAAGAAAACGAGACGCTAATGCGTCCGCTCCCGATTTGGCGAAGTTGGGCCCTGCGACTCGGATTTTCCGGCCCTGGGAGCTGAGGCCTCTGCACGGACATGGTGGCTGCGGCAGCCAGGCGAGCTTGCATGAGCTTGCACCCCATTGGACTTGGGTCGTCGCATGTCGTCGCCAGGAGCAAAGATGCCGTGGAAGCCCAAGTGGAAGAGCTGTGCAAGCTCTGCTGGGCTTCAGCCTTGGAGGTGCCGTCGGCTTGGGCGGCTTCTGCATTTTGCATCCGAAGCTGCTCCGGAGGCGGTGGAGTGCCACACGCTACTCATCGCTGCCAGAGCAGAGGCGAGTCCGAGTGCTGGTGAGCATGGACAGCCTGCGGATAGATGTCCAAGTGCTGCCTGGACAGCAGGTAGACCACTTAAAGCGCCGGCTATCGCGATGCAGCCTAGCCAAGACAAAGCAGCTGGTCTTCCCCGAGGCGCGATTTGCTCTGCAGCTGCAAGGGCGCAGGGAGATGGATCGAGATGTTTGCACAGGATGATCTTTCGGGTGCCAGCAGGCGAGGCTTCTGCTCAGAGTGGGCGGGTGCTTAAGCAGTGCGTGAGTTGCATCCGGATTCGGCCCAATGAAGGCCCTGCTTCGACGGTCCTAGCTTCCTGGATCAGGACAAATTGGCTTGTGCGCATGCTGTCCGGGCTATGTCAGAGATACGCAGGATCAAGGGGATCTGGTCTTCAACGCTGTTTGGGATGAGCAGCTCGCTCATCATATGCAGCTGACCCTTTCTTGCTTACACTGCTGATCTCTCCTCCCGCAAGTCTAGCTATAGAGTGGAATGGCACCGCTGATTTATGTCACTTGTATCAGTGGTATTGGTCACCGGCCAACCCTTCAATTTCAGCTTTTCAATCTTCCTGCTTCGACCTAGCTGAGTGAGACGTTAGCCGTCCTGAGTTTGACGGTGGCTGAGGTTCCAGGATGACGGGACTCCTCCAGGCCGTTCTTGTGTACCCAGTTCTTTCTTGCAGAGGTGTGCGTCCGCACGCGCGTGCGTGCGTGTGTGTGTGAGAGAGAGAGTGGACCCAATGGAGTAATAGTACAAATGCAAGTCACACTGGTGGCAAACAAGCTAGGCCTACGCTTTTCTGGCAGTGTCGTGAGCGAGTCCACCGTCCCTGAGGTAGTGAGATCCCTGTGCTGCTCGACACCGGTATGAACACGGAGGCCTGAACCGTCTCGAATCTGTTCTAGGTGTGACAGCCAGACTGCCGAGCTCAGACGACCCAGAGACATCACAAGCAGCATCGAATCTCATGCGCTCACCAGCTTTCGCGAGTTTCTCCTCGAAACGAGTACCTTCTTTGGGGCCGTGGTCGTTCAACCTTCTTGGGGCCAGGAGACCGCGGAAGACGTGGTGAGTTTGCAGCGGAGCTGCGAGGTGGGTCCGTCATAGGGGCAAATATGCCAGGAATTCGGACTTCACCACCCTGACAGGAACTGCAATCGCGGCTCTCCACCACTGAGGTGCGTGGTAGGTTTGTGCGAATGTTCACATGTTCGCGTATCCAGGGCCAGGGTGAAGTTCTTTGGGAGGTGTCTTAGCCTGAGCCTGCATCTGCAGGCCCTGCCGGCTTCTGTGCTCCATGCATGCTCGGCCGCAGGTGGAGGCAGCTCGACTTCAGGGCGACGTCACCCACCTCGAGGCGTGTTTCCCAGTGTCGGGCTTGCCTAACGCATCCGCGCGCGTCTCTCTCCAAGCCTGACTCCGGCGCAGGAGCAGCTCTGCGAAGCGGTGGAGGCGCCGCCGCTTGCGTTTCCGCTGTCGCTGCTGCTCTGCTGCTCTGCTGCTCTGCTGCTGCTCTGCTTTCCGCTCTTCGTCTCTGCTTTGCTTCGGGAGAGACAAAGAGAGCCATGTGTTTTTGTTTTGCGACTTCGTGCGCGGCTGCGGCTCAGGAGACTCGCACCGCGAAGGCCTCCTTCTTGGGAGGGGCTCCGCCGGGACAAAGGGCTCCGCGCTGGGAGATGCGCGGAATCCGCCGGGGGAGCCTTTTGGGCACCGCCGCTCTCTCTCTTGCTGCCAGGGGCACCTCACGGAGGCCCTGGAGCAGCTCACCGAGGCCCAGAGCTCGGAGGCCCGGGGGGGGGGGGGGGGGGGGGGCCATGGCGGGCCCAAGCGGGCGCTTTGGGGGCCCGGCGCCTTCAAAGTGCGGCGGCCGTTCTTCTCTGCTCTCTCTTTCTCCGTTTCTTGGGAGGCCCTGCTTCAAGGAGCTTACGAGAAGCTTCAAGAGGAGCATGCAAAAGTATGCGGGGACTATTGCTCTTCGTGAAAGAGAGGGAGCCGGCGATTCTTCGTTAGTCGTCCGTGAGGAGCACGAGCTTGAGATCAAGCTCCACGAAGACACGAGACACGAGGCCGATGGGACAAGAATGCTGAGTCCGACGGAAGCCATGACTGCTTTGCAGGTGTCCCGGCTTCAGTCGGAGGTGATGCGTTATAGGTCTGCAGACATCGCGTCGCAGGACAGCTTTGGGCATGTTTCGAACATGAACATCCAAAAACATGATCTGGAGGAGAAAAAGGCTTTTCACAGCCGCCGTCCTTCGAGAAGGCCTCTCAATGCCGCCGCCCCTGGAAGTCCTTGTGCTACTGACATCGCAGGGTTCGATCACGTCACTTCTGCAAGCAGCGAACACGCACCTGCGCATGCTTTTTCGTCTCTATGGTCGTCTATGAGCCGAGATTTAACTGCATCACAGCCATACAGCGTTTGCAAGCGCTTCACAGCCTTGACCCGACCGTTGTCTCAGGACAGTAGGCCACCCTCGTCGCCGCTGCCACTGCTTGCCGGCTCCTCCGTTAGCGCGATCCTCAAGCTTTTCGCAGAGTCATTTCATAGTATAACATAGTATGGTATAGTATCGTAAAATAATGTATAGTATAGTAGCTTTGCTTTGTGCCTTATAGTCAATGGTGCCAAGTAAGTCTCTTTTCTCACCTGCTCTGAGCCTTGTCTGCATTTGGGTAGCCGGCAAAGAATTGAGACAAGTGCAATAGGAGCAACTCGGCCGAGTATCGAGTATCGGATGGGCTTCTCACAACTCCTACAGGGTGTACAGGCTATTCTAAGATCGCACCTGTTCGAATCCGTCTCAACTCCAAATCCGAAGCTCTGAGGCTTTTCCGATGCAGCTGCAGCACTGCGCGAGGTGGAGCCCGAGGTCTCAGAAATCCCAAACGCTTCGGGAAATGTTGGTGCATGCAGTGGCCATCTGCTGCTGCCTTGCTCTGAACCTTGCTGCATGCGCAAACGTGTGGTGCGTACGCGATGGGAAGCACACCTCTGACGGATTTTCCAGAAAGACGGGTGGCGCTGTCGGCTATCGACAACTCAGGTCCCCAGGATTCGCGCTCCCCAACCGCCGCAAGGCAATGCAGGCGCAGCGATGGGAAGCACAGCGCAAGACCCGAGGGGCAGCGGCAGAGCACAGATTTTTTCAGGTCTCAACCTCCTTGCCGTCTTTGCAGCGGAGCGGTGCCGAATCTCAAGGCCCGAGAAGATGGTAACCCAAAAAGACATCTCTTGGCGTTTGGGGCGGGGGCCCGATTCGCAAGGCCAGAGCTCCCTGCTTTCAGCTCCGCGCAGCAAGAGGCCTCTTTCTCGCTCGGGAAAAGCTCACCGTCGCTAGCAAGTCGTTGCTCAAGTCTGCTCGATCCTTTTTCCGAAGTCTCTGCTGACAGTTTCCGGCCGGACAGGATCGATAGTCGAGTCCTATGGCCGCGAGCGTGTCGGGCAAGTCAACCCCCAAACGGCCCCCGAACGTCAAAGCTGCCGCACAGGCCATTCGTGCTCTGAGCCCACTGCAAAGTGGATTTAAAGCGAGTTCGCTCTTCGCCGGGCCGAGCCGGGCAGTTCTTGGTGCTGAATAGGGTGTGGGGTTCAGTCGAGCTATTCTACGACGATCTACGCGGGAAACACTGGCATTCTGGTTCAGTTTCAACGCCACGATAGGATTCTACACAGATATGAAGGTTTATTAGTAGCATTGTTAGGTTTGTATGTGGACTGGTACAGAAATTTACTATGTCCTAATGAATAGTCGTGGTAGCGGAAAAGGGGCTCAATCGTTTTGTTCTCAAGGAGTTCCTGGGTAGCGGGGTCAAGGGATCGCGTGCACGTTCTGGATAGAGAATTCCACCGCAGCACAAACTTGAACATGCAGCTTTTGTGACTGCACGTTGGGTTGATTCGGGGTGGTGGTTCGTTTGCTGAGCAGTAAGGGAAGTACAGCAGTCAAAACGAGGCAAGGGTTCTTTCGTGTTGCAGTCGGTGCTGGCACGTGCCAGGTTTATCTTCTCCTTGTATTGCAGTTTGTGGGATCCCGGTTGTTGAGACCCTTTGTGGCAGAATCGTGTTGCTGATGTTTTTGCTTTTTTTGGGGGGTCCAGCCCCAGACGGGATTCCAGACTCTCGCCGCTGTTTCAAGGCGTCGTGCACCACTAAGTGCTGTGCACTCTTGAGCAGCCTGCGCCGGGAAGAAGGGCTGGTAAGACGTTTGCGGACACAAAGCCGACCTTGAGAAACTGTTACCGTGCTTACGGGTCCGGCAGCAATTGCTAGGACACTGAGGGAAGCAGGCTATCCAAAACTGAAAGTCAGTTTACTTCGGAAGAATCTAGGAATCTAAGAGGCCTTTTCTCGCCGGCCCTTCTTTCCCCGAGTCGTGCAAGCATGCATCGGCATGCGCATGTCACTCACGTCAAGAATCAGGATACTCCGTACCTGTGACAGAGGTTATTCTCCTTTCCGGGCGAGTTCTTGGAGTGCGGAAACCTTGCCTTCAAACTCAAATGAGCGATGCCGTAACACCGTAAGGCGGCTCCCGGGGTATTGGTGGCGAAACTGCCCCTGGCAGGGATGGCCCCCTGCTCGCCCGTGTGCCATCCGCTCCTGCGCCCATGAGATGTCATCCAGCGAGCTGGCCCCAAAGCTGAGAAGATCCGAAAATCAAGCCCCGTATCATAAGCCGTATCCCTGAGTGATATTCACCACTGTGTGCTGGATGAGTCTTCGTGTCACCGCCCAGTCAAACTTGGCGAGTTCACGCTAAGCATAGACTTCTTCTTGCGGCGCAGCGCTGAGAGGGACGACTAGGCTCGAGGGCGACAGCTCCAGATGGTTCAACTTGCCAGTGAGGGTGAATTTCGTATCAAATCATTTGTCCTAGCTGCGCCGCTTTGTTCACAGCTCGGTCTGAGAGGGCGAACCAAGACCATGCACCTGGGCAGAGTGGTTGGTGACTCTCTGCTCGGCTCAGGGTACAAAGGGTCCTGAAAAAGCTCTGCTTAAAAGACTGGGACCGGTGACTCAGCCGTCGAAGATGGTTGACGTGAGATGACTCATCCTCTCTGGACAAAGCGTGGGCCGCCGTTCTAGCCTGTGGAAGCTATCAAAGCTCCCAAAACCCTCTCATCTTGGACCGCGCCTGCGCTCCCCTGTTTGCGAAGGAGGAGGACGTGGAGATGACGGAAGAAGCCAAGGAACTTCTGAGCGCTACATTAGCAACTGTGCTGACCCGAGCCTCAGAACCCTGTCTTTACGCAAGTTGGGTGAACAAAGGATGTACCTCCGCGTCAGCATGCGTCAGGAGCTTCTGACGAAGATCGGCACGGAGAGTACGTTGCGGCACGAATCTGAGTTTTCAATTAGACAGAGTCACGGGACTGCAGCCGAGTGTTTGCTTTGGCGACGCTATGCTGAGGTATGCAATTCACTTAATCACCTGCTCCAATCTCGTGGCCATGAAGCGGAAGGCCTCACTGAAAAGACAAGCGAGAATGAACATGAATGCTGCCGGGCATTGGCCATTTCATTTTCGGAAGTCGTTGTGAGACAGCAGGGCAAGGCGAAGCGCTGTGCCCTTGTTCTGGTCGGGGCATTCAGGTTTGCCTTCTGGAACTGTTCAAGCCTGTCCACGCCCGGCGCACAACTCGTTTTTGCGTGAGGCACAGGAGGTTGATGTCCAGGACATCCGCAAGGCAGGAGTTCCTGCTTGCAATTGGACGCTGCAACCGCAAAGATTTGTTTACAATGTTGAAGGTCTACTCGCTCTTTGTGGATGTCAAGCGGTCTACGCAGTTCCTCATGGAGTGCCCTGTGCAACGCACGACCGGAAGTGTTGCAGCAGTTGAGTTACGTGTTGTGCCAGGTATCAGCAGGAGTTCATGTTCTCCGAGGTGCACGAAGAGGAGGCCAATCCCTTCTCCGGCTCGGGCTACTTCAGTGCCGAAGGGAGACACGGCTGCTGTATGGTCTGCATGGAGCACGGGAGTCAAGGGGATGCAGTGGGCGCAATCTGCACAAGCTGTGAAGATGAGACTTTGTCACCTGTAGTGATGACCAGATGAGTTTTGGAGCTTTTGGCTGTGCATTGGTCTTGAGAAGCTTGGCCAGGATGCCGAGATGCCTCAGGCGAAGGCATTCATCTTGTGTCTCAAAGCCTTGCGAGTAATTGTCACTTTTCTGTCCAAGCTTGTTGTGGCCTAGCAACGTTTGGCAGTGGTATAGAGATGCAGTCGGTGACAGGGTGGGAGTTCGGCTGAGGGCTTTTTGGCAGGAGACTTGACCGCGCTGCAGCTCGAGGACAGGCACTCCTCAGACCAATCTGACATGCTTGCCTGGTCCCGGGTGACAACACCTCAGCGTTTTGGAGAGAGTAGGTGTCCTGCTGACCGGATTGGTTTGGAGGACCTGTCACCTGCCGCCGCGCCTTGCGTTTGCATGACCCGATGAACATAAACACTGCATGACTGCATTTGATAAAACAGCTGCGAGAACTGCTGCTTTGCTTTGGTCGCAGAAGATCTGATCCTTCCTGTGGAATCGACCCTCCATGGTCACCGATGGGATCTGCGTGTCTTCAGACATGGAACGATGCCGAGCGGGCAGCTGATGAGCTTCGTCGGATTGTCCGGCTCGAGATTAGTAACGTTAGGATCTGGGCCTGTGACATGAAGCAAAGAAAGCAGAGCAACTGCGTTCAGCCACCATAGCCACCCCGCGTTTGATGCAATGTTGCGAAGAACACATCGTCTTGTCGCAGACATCGTAGCAGCCTCCGACCTCTTGCATGAACCTAGACGTGGTTTCCTCCTGACCTTGCTGGCATGCCGTTGCACAGGCCGGCACCACAGAGACAAGCAGCAGGGGCCATCACTGATTTGGTCTCGTTAGCTTTTAGCCCTGTCAAGAGAGTCTCATTACAAGGACCTGTTTGCCGACTTGCCCACGGCAGTCTTGCAATTTCTTGCAGGGGGGGCCGGATCCCGCAGCTTGCTTTCTGTGTCTCCGCAAGGCCGGCATCAGACACCACCCTTCATCAGCCGGGAAGAGCCGACGACCCAGAGCATGGGCAATCACCGCAAATTGCTCCGACGGAACGGAGACAGCAAGCGACCGGATCGTTAACTAACCCAAGGCCACGAATGCTGAATTGGCACAAGCATGCGAATGCCTTGGAATGCAGGGGCGTCTGACCTGCGCTGGGTCGGTCGCCGTCCGGGATTTCAACAAGGACCGTAAGCATCACTGCGTCCGACATGGTCCAAAGAGAACAAGCATGACAATCATGCCCAGCTGATGTTTACCAGACAGCTTTCAGTTTTCAGTCCAGCGGCGTCAAACGGCTGTGGTTTTGCCGAAGCCACCTGTCACGCGCCGCGTCGGAAGGCGATCATCTTATGCGCCCGGTAAACACCGAAATCCCAAGTCCAAAAGCTCAAAAAAAGACCTTCCGAAGCTTCGATGAGGACCGCCTTGCAGCACAAGACCTGGCTCGGCGCACTGACCGGCTGGAGACACTGAAGGCGCAGAGGGGTGAAGTGCGCGAAGGGGGGCTCTTGGTGCTCACTTCGCCGACCGGCTTTCGTGAGCCCGGGCATCTCGTCTTCGGGGATCAGGGATTCCGAGGCTGCTTCGCATTCCGCACTTCCGCGAAGATCTGACTGCAAGACAAGTGACAGCAGCAAGACTCGTAGCAAAAGGTGACATAGGTTGACATTGGAAATGACAACAGTCGAAGAGACACATACATATGCATGATAAGAGATATGACAAGAAGCAGACGATGAAGAGAAGCAGTCAGCACTAATGCCTGTTTCCAGTCTATCTAGTTTGTACTGTTGAAGTGCGGCTGGCAATCATACTCGCTTAGTCATAGCGCTAGCGTGAATAATGATAGCAGTGGCAAAAGCGGCACATTCTTCCCCTACAATGGCAGCAACAGGAAGAACACGAGCCGCTGCCAGCTTGGCCAAGGCCAACACTACCACCACAACTTCCACAAAGAGACTGGAGTGAAAATGAGGAACCTTTAAGGCCACCTCCAGCCCAGGCGAGGAGGAGGCCCAGCGCGCTCACGGCAGCGATCGAGGCCATGGGCCACATATTTGCCGAGGGAGTGCGTATTTACGGCCCTTTCTTTTGCTGGCTTTCCGAGATCGACTCGAAGCGTTCGAAGCGTTCGAGGGCTAGGGATGCACTGTTCTGTGTCGCCTGGGCCAGAGCGCGGCTGGCCCACCTCTAGTGCGTGCACCTCGGCGGCTTTCAACTTCTTCGAGGCATGGCGGGCTCGCGATGGCAGATGGTGTGTGTGGTGTGTGTTTTGACGAGCCGCCTAGCCAGTCTGCATGACGCCAGCGAAACGATCGGAGTGTTTCTCAGCCCGCTCTCTCTCGAGGGCGAAGCCGCGACCATCTGGCAAGTCGGAGGACGAATTCCTACTAGTAGCTCGAAAGCTGTGGAACAAGTCTTCAAGAGCGGCACGGGCAGAGATCGCCACCGACCCCCAAGTGCCGTTTGTGGGGTGTTGTCTCAAAGCTGCAAGAACAAGCCTGTGGTTCTCTCTCTTATCAACTCCCCGGCTGAATATCTGTGAACCCTGCACTCGCTCGTACAGGAGTGGCACAAGTCCAGAGTCCATGCGCTCTTCAAGGAGCTGGATCCGCAAGACCTCGGCGAGGTCCGCCCGCAGAGCATCCAACACTTGGTTTGGTCGAGCGGAGTGGCGGAGTAGCGGAGACTAGATCTCAAGCAGACAACTGCCAGGTAAGTGTGGAGGATCTACAGGCGTCCTTTGCCAAAATGCCAGCTGCCTCAGTCTGCTCACGGCCTTTGCTTCTCCTGTTCAGCTCCTCGTTTGCCGTAGGCATAGTTCCAGGGTTCTTCCTCCCTCGCCTGGTCCGAAGTTGACCATCCATCGTTGGACTCACGATGCTGTGTGTAAGGAACATGGCCCTGGATGATGAGACCTTTGCAAAGTACAAAAGTCAGCTGGCCCCGGCATGATTGAAATCTGGAATGGTTTGCCAGAGAGCCTTGAATAGCATCTGTTTACTCCGCTCCCGCTGCCTCCTCTGCACATGTGTGAGATTCGAGATGAGCGTTCTGCCAGGATTCTTCCGAAGGGCGCAGGGCTCAGATTTCCAAAGCTGAGGCCATCAGATCTTGAAGATTCTCAACCCTTGATACCGATAGCAGCCATGTCCGAAAGCCCGGCCAGCATCGTCAACTGCGCCTGAAAGTGCATAGGCATACCCAGCCACTGTTGCTGCAGCAGTAGCTGGAGACGAATCGTCCGAATGCTAAGGTAGCGACAGTGTCGCCCTGGAAGCATTCTTGAAGTTTCACCAGGTTCGACAGTGTTTTGTGAGAGGTAGTGGTAGCAGGAGTCGGCTTGGCGAGTGCGGTGTACGAGGACCTGTTCGCTGTCCGGCTGAGAGAAGATCATACATAAAATTAGTTCATGGGTGCTCTTTTCTTGTGTTTTAATTCGCTTTTTCTTGCTTCACTCTCTTCGCTCGTTCCATTAAAAAGAAGCGAATTAAGCACCTAAGCAGGCAGTCTGGGACAATCAGCCGCCTTCGGTGCGCCGCTTTGCTGGCTGCCCGGAGGCTCGCCGGGCTTTGTTGCTCGGTATTTTTGGGTCTCCTCATTCAGCCGTATCAGGGTTGGGCATCAACATGTTTCCGCAAGTGATGATTAAGGCTGTGACATAGTCCCAAAGTCGCCTGAGCTTCATGCCGCAGCAAGTTGCCATCCACTCTTTGTACAAGCTCGCATGACTGCCAGCATGTAACATTTCGCTTGTACTGCTCCTTCCTTGTCACTCTTGTCACTGTTCAGGCGGGTGGAGACAGCACTGGGTCGCACCGCCCTCGGCAATCGTTGTGCCTTCTAATCAAGGAAGATCCGTGAAACAGCATCCTGACAACGTCTCTAGACACGAAGAGTGTAGCAGTGACAAAGGAGTTGTAGCATGGATAAACAGGGCAGGAAGAAGACTGTGACAACGGCGATGGCAGAGAAGAAAGCCCCAGGCTTCACGTTGGCCTCTCGCCACTGTCCAAGTCCAAGCAGCTTGGCACTCAGAGTCCGCATGGAATGCATGGTCGTGGGGACATGCTAGCCGCTAGCCCAAGCCTTGCAGAGCGCACGTGTCTGTTCAACGAGGCAACAAGTGGTAGGTAGTTTGACGCTCTCGATGTTCAGGGGCTCAATGCGACAGCTCCCGTCGGCACCTCAAGTTGGCCCAGCCGCATGCATGTCTCGTGTGACATCGCGTGATGAGGAAAACTTGCATCCGATACAGCCCACCCGAGAAATGAGCTCAGCTCCTGCAGGAGCTTGAAGCTGCCAGGGCCCAGCAAAGGCCTTTACAAGGAGGCTTTGGAGAACGAGGCAGGGCCCAGGGGACGACAAGCTCGAGGATGCTTTCGTGTGCGCTGCCAATTCTGCACCAGGACGCCCTCAGAGCAGCTTTCTACAGGCAAGACCGGCAAGACTCCACTATCCTAGGTTTAAAATTTAGGCGCTGGGGCTTCGGATATGTAGTGCATAGCGCATGTTCCTTGAAAGGGGCGGGTAGCAGATTTTCTAGGCGTTCTGCACCGTTGAACCTTAAGCTCTAAAAGTCTAAAAGGATGAGGCCCCTTGACCGTTTGTCAGACCTTATATGCACATCCGACTCTTTGAGCCAGTGGATAGTTTTCATGCACTACAGAAGAGAACGGTGTGCTTGATGCGCAGAGAGTTTGCGTTTACAAGGACCACGGCACTTTTTCGGATATGCTCGGTTGCTCATGAGTTTGCACAGGTCACTTTGTAACTCCTGGCCAGGTACACGAACGGACAACTCTACCTGAGCCGTTGGGTCCTTGGACGCTGCTTACAAGACTTCAATATTCAAAGCAGCCTGTAGAAGCGCGCTTTGAGGAAGTCAGATGCCCTCCGTTCTGAAGGACGCCGGACTTACATTTTTCGGTTTTAGCATGCTTGGTTTCGGGGCATGGTGTACTGCTGTGACTCGTCACACTTCTGCACAGACGTGCTTTGAGACCAGAACAGACACATACGATCCCGATCATGAAGCCAAGGACCTGGGCATCACGCTCCCTTCGGCTCAGTCTACACAGTTGGACAAAGATTTCTTCTCCACGCCGGTCGACCCAGATGGCACTTTTCACACCAGCTTTGCCAACGAGCTGGCACGAGAGCATGTGCAACCGCTGGTACTGGGGGCCGGCTGACTTGGGCCTCGGCAGCTTAAGCTGAGGTTCTGTGATCACG